AGTATCAAGCGACAATCCCGCTAAAATTTCTCATATTTATGCATAATTGTGCGAATGTTTAGACAATCAACCAATCAAAATCACTACCCGGTTTTCGGGTAGTGATGACGTCACTGGACGGCATTAACGGCCGGTCGATTCGGACGTTGCTGAGAGGAGAAAACGACTCGAAGCAATCGGACGAATTTCAGGCTAAGTTTTATTTGCCTGAGACTGAAAAATGATTCCATATCAAAGGCTGAGCACCTACCCTCGTTTTGAAACAGAGGCCCAGGGGAACTCGGAAATGGCCTATTCAGGGCATGACACAGGAACAAAGGACATTTCTGCTACGTTTTCAGTTTTGTTTAGTATGCAAGGATTTTTTCCATGCCTATAGTTAATGATTTGCTCAAGGGTAATAGAGGGGGTGGCCCAGCGTGTTTTTGCATTTAAATTGGTATGCAACAGAAATTTGCAAGCCCTGTAAGAAAATTTTGAGGTTCCGTGACCTTCTCACCCGCACTGCAAGAAGCCTACAATTGTAGGTTTTAATAAGAAATTAATACCCAGCATGCCTCGCGTGCCAAAATCTCCGGTATGCCGGGCATGCCATATTTTCTTGCGTGCTCTAAAGGCACAGGTTAGTTCCTTGTATCTACAGCTAAACAGATCGCCGTGCTTATCTTTTGATGAACAGGTTATCGGTCATTTACACGATGACGTCATTTCTATTTCCTTCATTTTCATAAATTTGGTAATCCCAGCGAAGTTCAAATAACAAAAGCTGTAATTTGCCGAGAAAGCAAAACCCTGAAGGATTCTGGTCGTAGTAGTTTAATAGCGTCATCGTGCAGATAGGATTCCCATTTCATATTGCGAATAAACTGGAATTGACTTAAATCAGAAAAGACGGAAACAGAGACTATTTTCATTGTATAATTTCAGGGCAGTCATTAAAAGCCGGGGGCCGGGGATTTCTCCCGGCCACTATGAATGGGTCCCCAGCAACTTTCGTAGGGACATAGAAAGAAATCCCTTGCTGTTTGATTCCCCGCCTACTTGTGGTCAATTTTGGGCTGCGAGGGCTTGAAACCAATTTTTCCATGCCTGAGAGATGCTTTTTCTAAGTACCAATGGTCCCTTGAATTTTGTAACGCCTAAATATATAAAATTTCTCCCCCTCTCATTAATCCTCAGACTGGATGCGATTTTACGCTCGCTAGGCATGTTCAATTGAAAGTCATTCCCATACCCTCATTCAAAACAAAATGCTTTCAAACTTTAGCTTCCAAGCCGTTTATAGCAATCAAAATTTCGTCAGAATTTAGGAAATCAAGCAGCGCAGGTTTTGGCAACAGTTTAAATGCCTGCCGTTACTGGTATTTTAAGAATGTAACACGCTTGGCTAATTTTTCGGATCGACGCGAGTAGTTCAAGCGCAGGGTGTCAAGTTTCTATTTTTTCATAAAATTCCTATTTTTTCATATTTTGTAGGGTTCAGTTGGTGCATCGAAATATTTTTAAATGTTTGAGAGTAATTTGTCAACGAAGTTTTTAAATTATACAAAATACTGGAATTTTTAAGTCAGTTTGACTCAGTTTGAATGAATTTCAGCCCCAACACCGCCTCAGTGTTTTTGATAAAATGCAAAGGATCTTTGGGATTTCATTTGCAGTCAGCTGCCATTTTGCTGCCATGTGACGCAAGTAAATTAATCCAATTCCATCCGCTTTCCTCTGGGAAAATAATTGTTTACAAATATATCATACATATAATACTGTTGTACCATTGCTTTTAAAGTAATACATTAATGGAGGAAATTTAATTTTTTTATTCCATTCACGTTCCATTCAACCCGAGAAAATTGCAACCACAAAAGCGCGAAAGCAATCTGTACGGTCAGCTCATGCTACAAAGTATAAAGAAAGACTCGAGAAAGACAAAAGATGAGAAGGAGGAGGCGCCAATTGAACAAAAGCCGTGAGGAAGGCGAAAAAATACAAAAAGCTAAAGAAGAGATAACTAAATCCAGACAGTCCCTCGAAAAGAGCGAGGACGCGTTAATGAAAGGGGAAGAAGAAGTGAGAGCAGACTTAAAGGCAGCTGATGTTGCATCACTTAGTAATTCAGAATTACTAATGAAACATCTAAACTGCATGATGCCCTCTCAGCAACAACTGTAAAAAAACAGAGCGTAAATGTAGCTACAATGATGCTTGACACTGCTAAAACAAACGGGACAATGCAATGCAAAGCTTGGAGAAAACAGAAGAAAAGAGACTAAAATTGCTTACTGACAGACAGCACAAACTGCTGGATAAGGCCATGTCATTAGTAGCAACTGGGTGCAAAAAAAGAGGAAACTAAGATAAAGTTATCCAACCTGCTAAGAGAGAAGAAAAATAATGAGCACTTGTCATCGTGTTGGCTTCATTGTACATTACTTTTATAGGCTTTACTTTGCATTTGGTGACAGTTAACTTGGATATCACTTGTTAAGAGCTAGTCATCCTGCGAAGGTGCTTATTTGTTCTTTTTTTGTTTTGTTTTAAGGAAAATTCTGCTTTGCTTACAGGGCAAAGTTGACGTTTCTGTGAGAACTAACATAAAGAAGGGATACTATTGTATCTGCCTTTCAAATAACCACTGAGTTGAACAGAGTTGAAAAAAAGTTCCCAACAGAGTTGAAAAAAGGCTTCCTATTTTTTGACCAATGTCTCATATTTTCCTATTTTCTGAGAGTCATTTGCCGCTTGACACCTTGCAAGCGCAAAAACGTATGACGCCATATGCGAATTGGATACTTGTTATCCAAACAGGCGACTTCTTATGTCGTTTTCAGCCGTTTTAGGGCCTGTTTATATGAGGTGAGCCAGGCCGGCTCGGCTCATGCTTTCTTTCTTATTAAAAGTTTTCGTTGTGTTCATATGAGGAAGCAGACTAGCCCTATTGCCGAGATCTCGGCTCGAGCAACCAAAAGTAAATGGGTCCTTAATCGACTATTTTGCCCTCCAAAGCATGATCATACATCACAACCATAAGCTATCATAGGCAATAATCACCCAAGTTTGGTAAACCATTCAGATGGTCAAAGTTTTTTACACCCTCTTAACAGAGCAACTTGTCTATTCGAACTTCACAGCCTATGGAGTTAAAATAATGATGGTTTACAGTTTTTCCTCAGAAAACAAAAGGCTTCATATATTATAGGTATATAAATGATTACTTCGACAAGAAAGGAAGTCGCTGTTTTTTAATTAGTATATTACTTGTACAGTGAACATACTTAATTATTCCACGAGAGCGCGTTGGATATGAGGTAGTAGATAGTCAATGAGGCGCCTCCCATATCCAAGTGGAATAATTGTTTTATTAAAAACGCCCACAAAATATCGAGAATTCTTCGCGACTTTATTTGTAAAACAACGGATTTTCGGCTTGTTTTTAATTTTGAGCAGACGCGTATGGTTACCATATTTGGAGAGCATGGTATAATGGCTCATATACCATGCTATGTTGTAATATTTTATACGCAAATGAGTTCTAGCCAATCGTAAGAGCAATCGAAGTTTTTCGCACGTAAAAATAATGATATTTCCATTATCAAAAGCCACAGCGGTGCGTGAGTTTCCCGCCTTTTGTATGAGCTTTCAGTGCCCTCACTTCGCGAGTTGCTTCGTAGTCATTCAACAGGAAAATTTGTTTCGTCCAGAGAGAAGTGTTTTCGTCGTAGAATAGTGAAAACAGTTGCGGTGTTGGGGTAGAATAGCTTATATATTTCATTGTCACTGAAGAAAATTTTGGAGAGCTTTAAAAAAACAAATCAGAAAAAAGGGGTTGGTACTTCTCACGGTGGTTATTATATAATGAAAATAGGATCTCACGTTGGTTTCTTGTGTGTTGACCCAAGGGTGTATACTGATTAGGGTGTTAAAATGTATTATATAGGAAATATGAACCATTAAGACTTCAGGTCTTCAAAACTGTTTCTCTTTTTAACTGGGTTTATTAAAATTTTTGTTTTCTATTAATAAATACAATTTAATGTGCAGCTAAAGACTTTGACGTGATCAGTGAAAGCACATCTGAATTGAATAGAGGAAGAAGAATCCAGAGTATTGAAGAAGATAAAGCAAGCTTGGCAGAGACTTTCAATCAGAAAGAAACAGCTGCATGTGGATATGAATTTAACAACAACATAGTTCGGGGAAAAAGGGATCTGGTTTGTAGGATTGAGGAAGATGAAAGCGAAGTTTTGAAAGAGGGGCTCAGCTTAGAAAGCAAATCCGCTGAGAACACGAAAACGAACTTAGTCTCTAAAGTGACGGGAGACAGTGCTCAAAGTACCGCCGGTAGCAGCTACGAAATGACAGAAGGAATTAACTCCTCAAAAGGTACTTGTTTTGAAGCTAAATGATTGTGACGAGGACTGTTGTGGCGTGAGTTTTACATTAGCTTGAGATTTTCCCATGCCACCACTGTTTTCCTTAAAGAGAGGATAATGACGTCTGAGAAGCGAGCGCGGAAACTCCATGCTGATGACAAGTCACTGCCCTGACCCGGGTAGTGCTTCTGATCGGCTTAAAATTTGCTTTAACCAATAAGAAGCACTACCCAGATGTAAGTAGTGATGCGTCATCAGTATAGAATTGCAACGGTCGTTTCTTAGAGAAACCTGTAGTGACGTCGCGAAATGTCGGCTGTCTTTTATTTTAGTTGTACGTGGTTTTAGGAACAAAATTTTAAAATATCATCCCCAGAGATTGTCCTTTTTTTTTATCATAAGGTCAAAGAAGCCGGGTAGCTCTATTGGGGGCCAGGAATCACTACGCAATAAATTTCCATAACTGTACAATCGGCATAGAAAACCCAAATTAATATTTTAAAAGGAAGTAAGAAAATTTCAAGTATTTAAATAAATGTGCTCTTATTAACAGATCAACCGAAATTGGTTGTCGATCACCTGGAGGCATTAAATGAGGTTAAACCGGGGAAAGGTAACCTTAGTGAAACCATGGAACATCCAGAAACGAAGGCCATCAAAACTGACACGAATTCCAAAACAAAAAACGAAAAATATTTGGCTGACAGTTCACAGAAGGCGGTATCTTCGAACAGAGATACAACGAAACGTCCTTCATCAGTGAACATAGCTTCGCTTGAAAATGCCAGTTCGAGTCAACCAAGGAAGATTAACTTCCACCAAAGTAAACCCGCAGGCCAGCAAGAATACCATGTGCTATTGTCTAGATGTAAGTATTTTTTTTTGTATTTAAATCTCACCCTTTTATATATGTCACATCATTTTATATTATGACTGACGTAATTCAAGGTAAACCAACTAACAAACCAACCCATTATTCTCTCTTGGGTAAAAATAATAGACTATAAAATTATACTGCCGAGAGAACGAAAAAAGGTTGACAACCTCTCGGGACAGACGGCAGATTGTTGCCATAGGGTTTTTAAAATCCCACTGAAACACCTCTTATAGTGACTGGCTTTTGAACGACTTCTAAATGTCAAGCAGTTGAAAATGTTTTAGACACCATTAAACGCGTAGAATATTTAGACTAACAGAAACGAGGTCTGAGCTTACGGAAAATGTTTCCTGACAGGCAAGCCAAGGCCTCGTGGAATTGAAGGGAAAACGCATTCCTATGAGAAGGGCTTAGTTCTGGATGCAGAAGAAAACAGAGAATTGGAATTCAAATCCCTCGTAAATGCTTCCCCTTCTTCTCTACCATGGAAAATTATGGATAAAGCAAAGAAGTTCATCTGTGCCTGTTTAAATGCTGATAGACAAGGCATCATTTATTTTGGTGTTGGGGATAGCCAGGAGAAAGGTTCGAAGTATCATCATGGAGAAATAATTGGACTTGATGTTGAGGATAAGAGGGACGACATCAACAAGGCCTTCCAGTTTGTTCTTGATGATCACATTAAAAGCGATGCTGGGTCACTACAAAAAGGCGGAGAACAGAACTGCGTTAACATACACTTCGTCCCTGTGAAAAGCGAAGGAATTCGTTCTAGCTTATACGTTATCGAGATAGAGGTAGCTCGCGACTGGCGACTCTGCAAAGACAAGATCTATTATTTCAAAGGCTGGACTGAGAAGCGAGGGATAGACAAGGAATGTGCTGCTGGAAAGAGAGCACTGAACGACTATTTTAAAGTGAAAGATGAGTTTGAATACGCTGCGATTCGCACGAATGGTGCATCTACTTTTGTTAAGCCACATGAGGTCGACAGCCAAGTCAAGAAACCGCTTGAAGTGAAATACAAGGACTGGAGACGAAAGACAAAACAGGGTAACTGCATTTTGTTCTTAATAATATAACATTAATGATTGATAGAAATAAAATCGTCGGCGTTTCGGTGATTTCAGAAGCTCTAAATTTCAAAATTGTAGAGACCCCCTTAGATAAGCTCGCGCCTTCGTGGCTCATTGAACTAGCGCGAGCTAGCCCCAATCCAAAATATGTCCCGCAGTCCCCGGACTACTTGACGACGTTTAAAGATTCGCCCCTAAGAATTCTGCCGTTTTAAAGCTGGTCGAGCTATTTTCTGGTGACTCCCTGGTTATGAAGAGATGAAACCTACCAAAGAGCCGTTTACAGGCCGTGCACTTCAGGGCCTACTTATCTAGATGCAAAACATTAGTTGCCTAAGGTCGGGCATGAGAAGAAAGCAAAAATTTCGGGTTTTAATGGACACAGTAGCCATCCGACTATCACCTTTTGCTTTTTCCCCTTTCCTTCTTTTTTTGCTTTATTACCCCGCTTTTTCCTTCAAGATGGTGTCTCGTGTCGAGGCATTTTCGAAAAACGAAATGTGAGCGATTAATGAAGCAGTCGTACAAACAAATACAAAGAAAGCGATGAACTTTGGCTTGTCGGAGTTTACTGGTAGGTAGAAAATTATTGTCATGCTGAATTTGCAACAAAAACGTAAAACTGTACTTGACAAAATCACCGAAGTGCAACTGATTTGGTAAATACTGAAACGACTTTCCCCCTCAGGGTCGGTGAACAGCGCTAGATATATACCTCGACGCTTCGCGTTTCGGTATTTATCTACCAGTATTCACCTCCCCTCAGGGGATAGTTGTATAATATCAATGTGATATAGCCATTACACCTTTCAAGTTGCTATGTTATGGATCAGGCAAACAAGTTAATCTGTGCCTGATTAGATGCTGATAGACATGGACTCGGGTCCAAGCGGCTCATGCGAAGGATAGGTCCAGGTAGATTAAAAAGAACTTCTTTGTTTCAAATGACTAGGGAACGCAACAAAAAGACTCCTTTTAATTTCCTAGTAAGCCATGTTATAATCAATTTTCTCTCTTTCTAGGTGCCTACCAGATACCTGAAGGTGAGTGATAAATTCTTTTGCTTTCTTCCAAAGGAGAAAAAGCAACCATAGACGTTCTATTTGCAAGGTAACTAAATTGGCCGAATTACTGAGGTTACATATATCGACTGGAGTTCGGTGAGTCTAGAATAAAAAGTTGTATAATAATGACCATCATTTCTGTTCTAACAGGACTCAGTTTGGAGGAAGGCGACGCAAAAAAATACACTGAAACCTTAAGAGAACGATTACATGAGCTAAACTACAAAGAGTATGGCTTCATCCTTTTTGCAAACAAGCTGCCTGCCCAGTACAGAGGTACAGCACATTTGTCGTTCCTACAAAACATACCTTGGGTGGCGGTGTTTGACCTGTTTGATCCATCCTCCAAACAAGATGGCTTACATCACACATGTAACGAGACTAGCGATGCGCCACGAGCAAAAATACGAACCCTTGACGAATTTAAAGAAATAACAGCAGAAAAGGATTCCTTGATCTCAACTCGAGGAACGACATGGATTTTCAATAATGAAGAGATGCAAAAGGGGGACTGGATCAAACGTTCCAAGGACTGTTTGTATCGCGCTCTTTCAGCCTACAATCAATGTTTTCTTCCAGGACGGCTTGTTTGTGTATTCCTCTGTTTAAGCGAGACCGCTGTCAATGAAATGGCAGACATCATGGAATGCAGTTTCAGTATTCTTGGAGACTCAGCAAACAGCTGTGTTACTATCATCAGTGAATCTAGAGATATTGCAGACGCATTTATCAAGGCTTCAAAATATTCACTCCAGAGAGAACTAGAAGAATGCTCTGTAGCTGGAATTTCGTGGGCTCTTCTGAAAGAAATTGCTCGCGAGTTAGTAGGACCATCTAAATTTGAGGAGAAAGATGCCACAACAGAGCTGCCACACTTCTCTGGTTTAAAAGCGGTTCTGAACAAAGCCATTCACTCTTGGGATGATTTAGAAGTATATTTTCCTAATCCTCGATTACCCAGATTGACAGAGGCCATTGAGAAGGCAAGAGATGCATTCTATAAAGGCGCCCAAGTGAGCCAGGTCAACCTTTTCTATGATCACAGTATCCCACGAAGTCTGGAAAAAGAAGTTAATGCTAAGGTTGGAAGTGCACTTAAGTCCCTGTCCAAAGAAAATGTTGACGCCAGCTTCTATGTGAAGACTATAACTGTGTCTTACGAGCCGGGGTCTGGCGCCACGACCCTGTGTCGCAGAATCTTGTGGAGTAAACGAACGGAATACCGATGTGCTGTGGTAAAAGCCATAACATGTTCAACAGACTACCAGATTGAGAAACTACAAAACATTGGCTACGAGGAAAGGAATATGACGTTTTCACTTCCAGTCCTCGTGCTGGTTGACAATTTTCCGGAGAGTCAGTTTCGTTTTTTAAGAGACCACTTAATGAAGAGGCAGACAAAATGCGTTGTTCTTGCTACTTTACCAATTTCAACTCCCACAGCCAATTTCGAGATCACTTTAAGAAAGTTGGATGAGGAGGAGACGGCTCGCGTGAAGAATATTTTGATCAACATCACAAGTGTCGACAGTGAGAAAAGAAAAGAAGCTGAACAGGTCTTGGAAAGAGAGAAGAGGTTCATTTGGTTTGGACTGGAACTATTTGGACGGGACTACCTAAAGATCAAAGAGCGGCTTCAGAATCACATCCGCAATATTTTGATGGCTTTTCTTGGTGAAGCAAGGGAGGAGCACCAAATGCTACTTGAAATGTGTTGCTTTCTCAACAAATACAGCGATGGCAGTGTGATCCTTCCGCATTCAGTAGTCCTGGACTTCCTTTACTTAAGACTTTCTTGGGATAAACAGCAATTTCCAGCCATTCAAGACATCCATGAAGCTTTTGGAGGTCTTCTCCTTGAATTACAAGACGAAACTCATGGGTACTACGGCTGGAGACCAGCGCATTCCTTAGTAAGTGAAGTGGTGACGTCAAGAATAAATGTGCAAAACACTGCCATACTCGTACTGGAAAAGGTTGCCAAAGGAAAAGCATACGCGATGAAGTTCTTAAGACAACAAGTGTTCAGGATTTTTTTAGATCGCAAAAGAATATCTGATCCAGTGTTACTCAAGGAACAGGTGGCTGATGATCGTTTAGTTGGCAATGATTTAGAAAACGAGGTATTTGGATTTTTAGGAAAACGCACAAGATATTCGCCTCTTATCGAAGACCTTATGGAGGACGAAAGTAATATTCGAGGAGCTGGTGCCCTACAGGTTCTTCTCACAGTCTGTGAACAGGCAACTCAAATAGAAGAAAAGTCTAAGGCGTGGCAGCAGTTGGCAAGATTTATGGGATATGAGATGCGTACAAACAGTTTAGATGAAGAAGTTGATCTACGTAATATAGTGGAACGACTGTACAACGCTGTGAAGAAAGAAAGTCATGAAAAACCACCCCTTCTCCTCACCGGAATCGATGCGGCCCACATGGCCGTTGATATTGCAATCTCTCTACAACGCACTTACACTAACCACTACACCACCAAAGGGGTTTTGTACTTTCTCCAGCTTACAGATTATAAGCGTACACCTCTTCGATCGTTATCGGAGGCAGTCCAAACTTGCCGCAAAGCACTGGAGATTTATGACAAGGCTCTGGCGACCTCAAAGGTACCAAATCTTTTCTCAATGATTGGAAAAATTGAAGCCATAATTTTACTTCTTGAGATCGTTAAGTCTTGTTTTCATTTTGATGAGAAAAGGTTTTTGAGGTACTTGAAAGAAGCGGAGGCTCCCTCAGAATTGATGGGGCTTTCTTTAGAGGACCAAGGTTTCGTTCAGTGTCTCCCTTCGACCATTCTTGATATCCTGAACGAACTGTTTGGAAACGTGAAGATCAGGCAGACGACCACGTATGATGAAAATGAAATACGAAGTCTTAACAACGCAAAGATAAGAGCTTCCAATCTTCGGAGACAGTTCTATGAAATCACCGGAATGGACAAAACAGAGTTAAGCAGTGAAGAATGTTCAATGCAATTGTTGTCTTCTACCTCTTTAACTGGCCAAGACCACGCTCTATATCAGCAGCAAGTTCAAGACTTTCTTTACTTCAAAGACGAGACCCCTTACAGCACATGGTCAAACATTAGTAAAAGCGATGCTAATTTGATCTATCAGTTGTTAAAATCCCTTTGTCTTAATGGTTATGGTAGCCATAATGACATGCTAATTTGTTCCAAGGCTTGTCTTCAGCTTAAAGACAAACCTTCCGTTAATGAGCTCGACAAGATTGTAACTAAATTTGTGGAAAAATTTCCTAATTCCGAGTGGGCGCATCTTTTCTACTACATGATACATTTTCCTATTCCAAATGGAGGCCTTGCTCACTACACTTCGCAAACCAAAGAGTCAATCAAACGATGTGCAAACATTGTTCAGGAAAAGGCAGGTTCAGGATTTCGAAAATCAGGTGCTGAGTACTTCCTTGGTAAAGGAATTGGTCTGAATGCTATTGTTAATAGTCATGAATTTCAGTGGCTTGAAACAAAGTGGAAGTCAAAGACACATTTTTGGCGAGGCAAGGAACCCTCTGAGCGTTTAGAACGTGTGCAAGGTCAAAAGGAGCCAGGTAGGAAAGGCATTATTTCCTACCAGGGAATCCAGATACACTTTGACAACACACGTTATCCCAATGAAAGCAAAGACGACTTGTGGTTTTATCTCGGATTTACTGTCGCTGGACCCTACGCCTATGATCCAGTGGATAAAGAAACATACGCTTCGCTTCAGAAAAATGCTTCACCGCTTACGATGCCTTACGCATCTTCCGAAGGCTCCACCAACAGCGGCAAATTTAGCGGTCCCCCTGGTTATCATGGCGCGCGAAAGAGTGGTCGTTCAACACCTTGGCAGCAGCTTGGAGCCGCAGCCTTTGAGCCGGAACACTACAAAGAAGAAGATACGAGCTGCGATTCTGAAGTTTTCAGCGAAAGGAAAGCGCAAAACAGTACTGGAGGTGACGGTTTCGACGATGCAGACGAGCGGTTTACCATAGGTGGTCGTTTCAATGCATTGTGTGCCAGTGAAAGTGACGAAAGCCCTCAGAAGCAATTCGAATCCGTTTGGAAAGTTCGTAAGAAGGCGCCGTCACAAGACCAATGGAAAACAGTTGAAAGGAGGACATCCAAGGCAAAAGAAAACCCAGCAGATGCGATAGGAGTGAAAAGCAAGCGCGTAGTAGGGACCCGTGGAAACGAGAAGAGATGGTTTGAACCAAAACAGGTGACTCAAGAAGGAAAACTACATCACGGAGCGTTTGTTTTGGGTACTAAAAAAGGAAAAGAATGCACTGTTCACAAGCCTGGATGTGATGCTAGTGTAACCGATAAATGCAATTTTGCACATGGTTGGAGGGGTGATACTCTACAGTTCGTGTGCACAAAGTGCACGGAAGAAAACAAGTTTGTGTGCAGAGAGAAAGTCAACCATGAACGATATACCTGGAATCTGGGACCTTACCTGGACAGTCGTGGAGACATATGGAAGGACAAAAAGGCATAAAACACTTAAAGAATCTGGGACAAACATTGAAAGACAGAGAGGTCGCAATTGCCACTTCCACATCGAATGTTCATTATAAGAATTTTTTTCATATAAATATAGAAAGAGATTGAACGCATCTATTAGTCCGTGTTCAGTTACACAGTTTTAACAACACTCATCTTTAGTAAAGCCAACACTAGGAATACATGCGTAGTATTTTGTATAAAGGTAGAATGAAGTCTTTCAACATTTGGCTTAAATATAACTACTGATATCTCAATTTGAAGTACATTAGAAATCGTCCTAAACAGACTTGCTTTTTTCAGCCTGGAAGTAAGCAAAATATTCTTTTTCCCGCTACTGCTTCTATGCGGTTCTTGCCCGAGACACTTGTTATTTCTTTGCACGGCCTCAGATTAACAATTTGTCCAGGATTCTTGCTAGAGTTGTTACAAGCCACTCTAATTTCGCACTTAAGATACCCTTGAAGAAACTTATTAAGGATGTTGTGTTCACTGAGCTTTGCGGTGGGTTTAATCACAGATTTCACCTTGACTATCCTAGTTGACCCTATTTTCCTTGTCGCTTTGTTCGCTGTTAATTTTGACCAAATATTCGTTTGCAAAGTTTTCTCTTTCTTTGGCATTTGCTGTTTTAAGAGTAACGTGGTTTTTTTGCTTGTCAGTATCAGAACAGGACAGTGGTAACTGCAGATTCATCTTCTACCTTTAGAACGAAAATCCGCTGGATTTTTTCAGAGGAGTGGCACAGATACCTGCAGTAATGCTAGTGTATGACCAAGATGGAGATAAGAAAAGAAAATGGGTGCGAGTCGGCATTGTAGAGGCAAGTGATTTTGTAAAACATGAAGCATTGAGATCGTCAAGTCTAGCATCTTGTTCTTTACTTTATTTAATATCAGTTCCACTTCGGGCATCGGTTTGCGTTGATTCCAAGGGTCTGGTATCTGATTAGTCCTGGTTCCTCTTGGCTGCTCAGTGTTTACTTATTTTGCTTCGGACTTCCAACCTCTAGCCTGAAGTTCTTTTAAAGCCTTTGCTATTAAGTGACGAATTTTCCCATTAAAGCCTTTGCTACTACGTGACGAATTTTCCCTTCCGTCCCCGGTATTGTCCATTCAAGAGCAATGATCAGTGTGGTCTATCGTTTCAATTCTATGGAATGCTTTTCTTATTGCAAATTAAACTTCCAGTGAAAGTCAGGAACTCAGGTAGTAGGTTTTATGGACGTGGTATGACAAACCCCTCTCTCAGAAACTCGACTACCTCGTTTTCAGTCCTCATTGTTGATGGGAACTTAGTCTTTCTCTGTAGGTCCTCTCCTCTCCGATATCCGTCAGGTGGTTCTTTAACAGGTAAACACATTCAAGGAAATGCTGTGATATTTAGCTTATCGGTCAGACTGCTCTGGTTGCTCAATCACTCGTGCGGACAACGTTTCCTCTTTTTTCTTTGCTATGCCGTCAGCCTGGGTTGGATTTTCAGTATCAATGGTTTGCTGCTCCACAAACAATTTTTTTTTTATCTCTTTTGACTTATAGTCCGAAGAACAGTTCTTAAGTCTTGTCATGTTGAGGCTGTTCTTTTTTCCCCTATCCTTTGTTCTCAGTAGAACCCTGTTTTATTACAGCCACTGACGGGCCATAAAAAATTGGCCTTTTAACAGGGTGGCCCTAGTGGTGTGGAGACATGGGTGTTTTCTTTCCTCGCTTAACATTGTATGGGTTCTTTTAAGTGGAAGTATTTACAAGGTGAATTTTCAGTAAAAGAATAGACGCCATGGAATCTCACAATGGGCCGTTTGCAGCGTGCTAAACGAGGTTGCCGAGTTAATGGGAGTCAAGTAGTGGTTTTGTTGACTTTTTTAACGCTCACTTTCTCTTTACGCTGTTATTAGTTTCAACAGACGCTCAAGAGTCGTGGTTTGTACTAAGTATAAGACATTTATTCCCGAAGGGTCAATCGATTATAAACTAGAAGACCCTTAATTTTGAATTATGAGATTTAGGATTCGCACCAAAGGGGGCCAAGAAGTTCTATTAAAACATTTTGCTTCTAGCCTGGTCCCTTTCAGAAAGTATAAGTCTAATTGAAACGTCCACGGTTTATTTCGTTCGAGTAAACAAGTCTTGCACAGAAGAATACATGTTTGTAGACGAGCAGACGCAAATCGATCATAAGGTATACAGTGCTATCTACAGGATAACTCATTTCCCATCATTATTAGGAAAATCAGTTGCGTTACTCCAACATGGATAGCGATTTATTACCCTTTTAGCGTTACCCACCGTTTCAACAATTTGGGCCAGCATCGTACCGTCCTACATACAGTTTTTTTTCCTATGCTATACTACTAAAACATCATGAAAGTTAAAAAGTATACCTCACTTAGGCTTTAATAAGATTGTTGTTTTCTATTACATATTTAATAATCTTCTGCAGTGGTAGCAGGTTATCAACAAGATAGTGATTTATCCGGTGACTAACGCTATCCACCTTTTGCGGAAATAACTGGGGCGAGGGGCCACGGTCCTCTCCGCCCATCCCAAAAGAAGGTGGGTTGACGTGATGGTATGCAGGTTCTTCTACATACCATTACGGCAGCATCATGCAGTTTAATATTGTTGACATTGTTACTTGGTTCATCCGCACTCAGTCTGCGTACCTTGGCAAAATTACTTATCAAGGGGAACCAAAACACTTGCACAAGACTTCCATGCTTTGTAGAACAACAGGTCAAATGTAAAATCTCGTTGTGTAGATATCGTATTAACGTAATGTTAACTTTAAATAAATTGTATTTTTTGTTTACTTGCATAGGTATTGCTGTGCAAAACTTCAGCGGTCTGTGTTAAATAAGTAAAGACATAACAGTACGTTAGCACGCAATATAGAATGTAGCAGTATAGAAGTGCATAGTTCTAGAGCAAAACATGACCTCTACGCATTGACTTATATAAACAGAGCAAAATGAACCATCAGGTTATTTTTTTACTACAGTCTTGCAGGGTCGTCTCAATAGACCAGCTGCTGTTTTTGATAACAATAGGCCTTTAGATTCTATGACGAGGACGACTCCGAGTACGAAATTTTCTTACTACTAAGTAACGCGCGCGCGTGAATCAGCGTCATTCTGGCGGGAAAAGGTGATAGCCGTCGTCATTCTACTACGAGTTTCAGTGTCTTAGTAGCGGAAACAAGTTAAGCTTTATCAGTTTGCGATCGGGGAGGGCTTGACCTGCTTCAGTAAAGATAACAGTGCTAACTTTTGTAGTTAAAAAAAAAAAAAGTGAAATGAAGCTTTCCGTGGTGCCTTTAAGTCAAGGCCCGTTCGCGTAGTCGTTCTCATCCGCGGATTTTGAGGTCTCTATTTTTGAAACTAATGTTTGAACAGTCCAAGTCCTCTTTTTACAGGCTAAGAACTAGTCTCTCCTAGCAAGTAGTTCTCGGGTGAATTCTATAAGAAAATAAAGGAGAGTGCGCTAGTTCGCCAATACGTCAAACAACTTGACCAAAGTTGCTGTCCTGCAATCCACAAGTGGCTACCAAGTTGACGAGTTATATGACGATTCCAACTCCATGAAGTTATCGTTCCTGCAGAAAAAAAAAATACAATATACGATATTAGCCAAAGGCAGGAGGCTGATATCCATCCACCTTTGCTTGTCATAACATACACGTACACGACAACATGGGGTCTACGGTGGCTTACACAAGAACCTGTCTTGGAACTGAGAGGTAACTATAGTAAGGTGCTTTCATCAATTTTTATTTACAAAGGGGTGCTTATTAAAATTTCTTGCAACAAACTGAAACATTAATATGTACAGTTAAATTTCGTAAAATAACTCTACAAGCCAGGCTCCTGACAAGCAGGAGATAGAACTCTAACTGTTTTCCTACATTCATGCTGCTGAGGGAAGAAATAGGCTTTCGATGTGATATCCTTACTAGATAAGAAAGTAAGTGGGGAAGTTGTGGGCGTTGTAGTAGCCTAACGGCTGACACAGCTATTATAATTACCACTTCCTGAACAAAAGTTTTAGAAGTTCATTCGTGAAAAAGCTTTTTATCCAGTGCAACAGACTAAAAAACTTACAAAAAACGGGCAAGAAAATTCAGGCGTGGGGTGACACAACTTAAACTCATTTCGGCCAAATGGCCAGCGGCCACTATACATGTAGTTACGAAATGTGAAGTCATCTTTTAATTTAGTTAAAGACATTTTAACACAGAATGCAACACTTTAGAAACGAGAAGGAACTGAGCTGAGAGTTCTGGGACCGTCACTAGGGACCGGGGAAAAATGGTTAATGGCCACACCGCGGTCAAACGTCTGAGCATGCGCGAAGAATTGCGTGGGGATCGCTACGTTCGATTTGGAAAAGTTACACACACGTGGCTTCGTCTTCTTGAGGGCAAGAACAGGGAAATTTTCTTTGTATTTCAAGAACGTTCACTGGCGATGAATAGGAAGAATAAGAGGAACGTACAATATGAAATGTAAGTATGAGTAAACTTCCATTTGTCAATCATAATATTCCCCAACTGCTCGTATCAGTCGTATGCTCTTGTTGATCAATGATCATGACGGCGCGCATTTGTGGCCGCTGAAAGTATAAGCTCAAGTTTAAATATTTTTAAATTGTTTGAGTTTTCTGCAATACTTTTATACTAGCTCTGGCTTAAACGTAATTTTAATGGTTGGTATTTTTATTTAATACAAACCATATCTTTTGAGCTCTGGTTCGTTCTGCAAAATAAAATACGTCTGGTTGTTTTTTTCGATGAAACTGTTCTTTTATGACAGACGACCTTAATTTTAAGCTTGTTTTTAACTTTTCACATCAAATATATTATCTCGCTCAGGGTTTAAGTCTGCATTAATAACAAAGTGTATCGATAATGAATAATTATTTTAAATCTCATTCATAAAATCCAATGACCACATCACATGAGTTCAGTAAATTTATAATCAAGCTAAAAAAAAATGCATGA